TATCTATCTATCTATCTATCTATCTATCTATCTATCTATCTATCTATCCATCCATCCATCCATCCATCCATCCATCCATCCATCCATCCATCTATCTATCTATCTATCTATCTATCTATCTATCTATTGAGCTGCTCAGATTCAGGCTCAGCTCGCATCGGAAGGAACACTCACTGCACTCACTGATAGGATTTTGTTCTCCAGGCTTCACTGTAAACGGTGCCACAGTAAATAATCGCGGACCCTTTTGCCAAGATGGTTTCCAGATCTATTTCTATAAATGATGCTGCTAGGTCATAGTTAATCAATCATGAAAACATCTTATATATAGCCATATTCCCTTCTGCAGGGCTTGTCTCATTTTTTATGCCCATGAGAATTTAAGAGGACGTGTTCTTCACCAGAGGCTCATGGACTGCTTTGTTAAATATCCGCATCACTGCCAGCCTGACCGATGAGAAACTGCATCCTAGGGCAGTTTTTCCCTTTGTGTGGCACTGACAGTTCTTTATTGCTAGAGCTCACATCACATCCTAGTGAATTTTGTCAAATGTCTTTGCACGTGCCCAGCGGCTTCAGCTGTACGCTGCTTGGGGATGGTTCGTTCTGAACTTGGACTCTCTGACTTATAGTCTTTTGTAGTATTTCAGAAGGGCTTAGTTGGGGGTCTCATGTCTTAGATAATCATAATAAATCAGACACAGTAGGGCTTTGTTTTATGATCTTTTACTAAATTCATTACTCTTGATATTTTTTCCTCAGAGTATTTTAAATCATCAGCATTCTGTATTAGTTATCATCCACCTTAAAAATGATTTTATCTGGCTTATTGCCCAGTAAAATGAATTAGAATCACGGAGCAATTCCAGCTGATGAAGATACAACTTTAAATCTTTGAGTTCTTTTAAAGGCTTTGTTTTTCTTCACTTGTGGCCTGAGGATAAAACTAGAGTCAATGGTTGAATTTCCAACAGAATAAAACAAACAAAAAAAAATTAAGATGTTGTACAAAGTATTGGAAGTATCTAGTGAAAACTGGTAACCTGATTTTTGACTTTTATAGTCTATTTAATTGGACTTTCCCTGGGCCCAAAGGCAACAACATTGATTTTTTTTCCTTAAGCTGTAAAAAATATGTTCACATCTTCCACCAATATGTTTTAATTTTTTGTACAGCATGGACCAAATATGTCAAAAGAATATAATTTTAAAGTTCTGTCTGTTACAAGAAACTTTAGAGGCTGTAGATGCTAAAAATTTGAAATAAGATTTAGACATTCCTAACTCAAGTGCTAGCATGTCAGAACATAGGAACACCCCATTCTTGCAGTTTAATAGGTAGAAACAGAATTTTTTTCAACCAGTGTCTCCTACCAATTTTTTTTTAAAAAAACTTTGTAGTTATAACATTCTCAAGAACTTCTATGGGAAAGGTTTGACTTCATCCTTTTAAAGTTATTCTTTGGATTAATTTGTTTGCTCATGTCCCTAATTTTGAATCAGAAACCAGAACAGCGCAAAGATAAACTCAAGGTTAAAGTAATCAGGGAACAGCAGCTGGAAATAGCATGCATTATGATGATCCCTTTTTGGAACTTGTCTCCTCAAGTTTTTACATCTTCATTCTTGCTATTTTACAGCTATTAAAGTACTGAAATAGTGTAGTAGCAGTGAAATTATGAAATATGTCTATTTTTTGTCAAGTTTCTGATTTGTACTTTCTGCTTTAAAGGTTTATTTGTTTTATTTTGTAATTGTGTGCACGTGAGTATCTGCATAGGTTTGTGTCCATGAGGGCAGAAGGGGTTGTCGGATCCCCTGGAGCTGGAGTTAGAGGAAGTTGTGAGGCACCTTGTGGGTGCTGAGAATCGAACCTGAGTCCTCTGCAAGAGCAGCCAGTGCTCTCAACCCCTAAGCCATCTCTCCAGCTTTGATTTGTATGTGCATACTATCTAAAAGTGTTAACATGAAATACAAAGTTCAGAGTCCACGTAGCTATTAACAGAGTCTAACCAAGTATCAGACACTGCTAGAGGGGGGTTGGAGTCAAGCGGCATTCAGTGTTGGACGGTGGTTACACAGATGGTAGAGCTATAGGGCTAAGAAGCAGGGGACTGTGAGGCAACATGGGGTGAACTAGGTCACTGGCACCCTCAGGTCGGAGGGATAAAACAAAGGCATGGGGTAGTATCACATTCCCCAGGAGGAAACTTCTGCGCTATTGGAACAATGTCCAGGGAAAACGGGGTGCACTGGAGAACCTGAGGACCTGCTGAAAAGAGAGGGGGTGGGTAATGCTTTAGGAGGGGGAATTATGATGTGTTTGCCTTGTCTTGTCTCCTTCCCTTCAAGCCTCCATAGCAGACATCTTCTGTCACTTGAACCCATCTAGAAGACAGCCGAGAAAGAGGCTGCTTTATGCCTGGGCCCAGATCAGGGAGATGGCAGCAGACCCAAACCTGACAGAACTTGGCTGCAAAGTCCCTGAAGCACTTGTGTGTGGCATGCTAAAAAAGACCACGGAACTTGGGGAGCACTACATTTTGTTGAAAATTTAAGTTTCCCTCTTCCATGAGTTTTCAGTATTTGTTAAGTATCTTTCAATAACTATTTGCCTAAGTCTGAAAAGTTTATTTATAAAGCCATGAAGTTGAATGAATGCAGCTCCATTTTCCAGGCCCTGATCTTGAGTACTGACGCTGGGACTAAAGCCAGGTTCCCTAACAATGGATTTAATGAACCTTTCCCATCTTGTGATGAGGGCTCAGATTAAATCCAACCCAACACCAAGGGCCTATGACTGGTATTTTCAAACTCTACATTTGGTTTCTTTGAACCAAATCCTCTGACCTTGGCATCCTCGTGTATAAAAATGGGAATAATGCTATCTAAATATCTTCTTTTTTTCTGAGATAGGGTTTCTCTGTAGCTTTGGAGCCTATCCTGGAAATAGCTCTCATAGGCCAGGCTGGCCTCGAACTCACAGAGATCCGCCTGCCTCTGGCTCCCGAGTGCTGGGATTAAAGGCATGCGCCACCACCGCCTGGCTTGCTATCTAAATATCTTGTAGGAAACATGTGTCCAAAATGGGGACAAATTTATGAAAACTTCTGAAGTCTTCCTTGGGAATGAAGTGGGGGTATTGCTTATTTAGTGAAAACCAGAACGGCACTGCTGGGGAGAAGGCTCGCAGTTAAGACCACTCGCTGCTATTCCAGGGGACCCGGGTTTGGTTTCCAGGATCCAAACGGTGGCTAACCATCATGAGTAACTCCAGTTCTCGGGGATCTGACACCCCTTTCTGGCCTTTGTGCACACATGTGATGCATAGACATGGATGCAGGCATGTCTCAGGCATGTCGCCTTTCTTTGCATTGATTGTTTCCTGAGACAGCTTCTGTTGCATTAAGGCTTGCCTTGAACTCATGATTCTCCTGCCTCTGTGGCCTGGGTGCTGGGATATTGGCATACATCACTGGTGTACAGCTCTCTTCTCCCTGATATTTAATTCAGTACTTACTTTTAGGGGGATTGTGTGTTAGAAGATGTACCAGTGATGTTGGAAAAACAGGAGCCTTTCTTTTGTGGAAGTACATTTTAAAAATACAGACTTCTCATAATTCTCTGAGAAGTTCATGCATATATTTTGAGTATCTTCACCACTTTGCTTCTCCCCTGCAATTCTCCCCCAGATCTGGGGGAAATCTTTTTGTTTGTTTTCAAGTTTGAACATTGTTACTCTTTTGTTCGTCCTCTAAATGTAGATCAGAAAAGCCATGGAGACTTCAAAGGCGGCTAAAGAGCAAATGTTGATCAAACAACACAAGCAGGTGTGGTGGCAGGAACAGGAGCGGCTGCAGGGAACCAGGTGAGCCTGGGCGTCCCCCCAGGTCAGTGGGGATGGTGTGGGAACTCCTGGGCATCCTCATACTGATTTACATCTGTAACGGTCCATGTTAGTTAAACCACACAATCAAAATTTCGAGTCGTTGGAATTAGAGTCACATTGTCTTAGCTTATTCTGGAAGGCAGGGAATGTATTGACATGCCATTGTTCGCTGATGGATTAAAGGACAGTCACCTCTGCTTGCCAGTCTCTCCCTCTTCTGTACTCCCCCATCTCAGGCTTGGCTGTGTGTCCACAAATCACATGCTCACGTTTGGGTACATGAGCATAGGCTCCTCGGTGGCAAACATCACAGCCGTCCTTTCTTGGTGGGCACACAGAAGAGGAGTCATAAATGCTCTCAATACAAAGGAGCTGAGGAGTTCACAATACAAATGGAGGCTGCTCCGTGCTGGCTCGATGCTGCACCATGACTCACAGTTTTGGTTTGAGCCCTGTTACCATTTGTAGCAGTCAAAGGTGAATTAAGACAAAATAATTTGATATTTGACCTTAATTATAAGCTTGGCAAAAATAATTTATGCTAAAGCAATGACCAAAAGAGAAAGCAGATGTCTATCTCCCATTTCAAGCTTACCCATTTGCGCTGACAATGTAGTATTTATAAACCACGCTTTTCAAAACATTACACGTACCCATTCTTAGGAATATTTTGCTGTGATCTTAGTCTATGTCAGGTTTCTGGGTTTCATTTCCTTTGCTTTTGGCTCGCATACTTTCACAACAATGTGAACTTTGTACCCCGTGCAGTGATCCCTATACAAGAGGTGCAAGGCTCACAATTAACAATTGATTATGATACAACTTAAACCAGAAAAATAAAATGCTATGAGCTGCACAATATACTTCAGCTATAAAAACCAAATTAGATACACCAAAACCTTTCAAACGTCACCTCTAACAGAGAAAAAAAAATGTTCAAGTCCACTACAAAACCATTTTGAAAACTTGCATAACTTGAAATACAATAAAAAATGTTAACTTTGATCATGGTGGTCACCTATGCAAACACACACAATGGAGGGCACTGGGAAGGGTTTCCTTTTCTTCTTCCATTTTGTAAATCTTGGCCATTCTGCATCCTCCCTAATGTGTGTACCGAGTTGATCCTGAGCCAGATAGATGAATCATGTGCACTGCATCATGGAAACTCGTTCTGTTGGCTGGGCTAGAAGGGCAGAGATGTTGGAGGCAAGGGGCTCTCCAGTGAGGATGACCCCACTGTCTGCAAACTTGGGACTAAATTCTGAACACAAATAAGAATGCTAGTGTAATATTCTGTGTTCTTCTAGAATGTAAGGTAATTCTCATGCGCATTCAGTGAAATGAAAAATGAAAGGCAATAGGAAACTTCCCTAATGGTAGGGACATGTCTAGAGATATCGGCGATGTAAGGACCTTGAACAAATTAGGAGTTTAAATGCTGTACTTGTCTGCCTCAGAAAATCTGCCTGGCATGATGGGAGGCACCTGTAATCTCAGCACTCAAGATGCCAAGGCAGGAGGATTGCCACAACTTCAAGGTCAGTCTGGGCTAACTAGCAAGTTCTAGGCTGACCTGGGCTATAAAGTGAGACCCTGTCTCAAAGAATTTTTAAAATAAACACACACACACACACACACACACACACACACACACACACACACACA